CTTCAGTCCCAGGCCAGTGCAGCAACATTGCTGGTTACAAAGGCCTAGATAGAAATCTTGTCTACAAAAGAGGGCGAGTCTACTGTCCATATGGGAAAGGAAGATGATCTTGTAGTTCAGGAGACAACACAGGATGTTTTATTAACAGTTTTTCATAGTCAACAGCACATAGATGACAAACTCTTTGTAGTTAAAACTACCTGTTGCTTTAGATAAGAGCTCCCAGCTAAGATAGTTAATCTTTCACTGGAGCCTTCAGGTTTGTTTATCCTATTGTCACCAGTGAGGCTTTTCCTTTCTTTATAAGTCCATGGGTTCCTGTATTTTATTTGCTGAGTCTGTCAATTAGTGAGTTCTTTTGTTTTATCTCTGAGTCCCTGTCATATGGTGAATACACTGACTTGGCCTAGCATGAGTTACCTTTGGCCTGCAGCTTTAACAAAGGGGTATTTACATAAAACTAACCTTAAACTAACTTAGTCTACATATGCTTCTAACGCTAATTTGGTTTATACTAACTTAACCTATATGTTAATTTTGGCTTAAAACAGGCAAGTGGGGGAATCCTCAAACTTCCTGGCCCTCCTGTGCCTTCTTAGGAAACCACATTCCTACAAGATCACTAATTGGCTTTATTGTAATGGTTGGGGGTGATATTTTTACCCTTGCAGGGTACCGTACTAACAGTAAAGCTCATGGCAGAGAGATTGAGTGCAGGCCAGTACAGCAACACAAGGGTGGGGGGAGCTCGTAAACTGTCGGCCTGGCCTTGCAGTTTCTTCCCAGCCCAGGCCCTGCCTTAGGTATGGGAGGCAGCCTCTTTACCACCCTGTGTTATCTGCATGGCCCCATCATCTGTGGAATTACTTGTACATAAAATTATTCACCACAGCACTGTTTATAACAAAAAAAAAAAAAAAAAAAAAGACTGACAGTAACTCAGGTTGCTACAAATGAGGACTAATTCAACCACAGAAGATCTGCATAATAAAATGTGTTTAGTTGAAGGCATGATTGAGGAAACTCAATGCTTAAATACACAATGACCTCTGGTAGCTATTGTTAGGTAGAGAAAAGTTTGTATTTTACCCCACCTTTTGGGTAAGAAAAGGATAAAACAAATAATACTAAATGTCTCTACTCCATGGCAGAGTAAAGGTCTCAAAAGAGGATTGGAGAGGGATTGGGAGAAAAAAAATTTAAGGGACATAAGAATTCATGTAAATAAGGGGAAAAAGTTATAGAACAGTGTACTACAGCAGAGTAAAAACAGACAACTCAATATATATGTTCAAAAAATACTCATGCATTAGATATGCACAACATAATGTAATTGTTCAGTCTTGAATATTTGTATAAGCTTCATTGGATTAGGACATATTGGATGCATACTTTGAAAAAACATACTCTACCCTCTCAAAGATATACATAAAGTATATGTAAACCAGAAATATGATACAAAAGAATACATGTTTATTTTGGCTTATATTTGCATGAAGAATTATTAGAGGTCAATGATGGTGGCACAGTAGTAATAGAACCCTCAAGATGCTGAGCCCACATGGGAAGGTTCTAGGTTTGTGACCTGAGTCCTCCCTGTATACACCGGGTATGTACATGTGAGCCCATGATCCTGACTGGCTGAGGATAGAGGTGGATCATGGCACAAAGACCTTATTGAGAGTCTCTCTCTCTTTCTGTCTCTGAAGAAATAAAAGGGTTTTTTTTACAAAGAATTATTAGAAAGCTATGAAAGAAATTTAATATTAGGCTACTCACTGAGAGAGAGGGAGGAAATCAGAAGGATGGGACAGAAATTGAAGAAGTACTTCTCATAGAAAAACTTATTTTGATTTTTGAACTATGTGTCTATATTTTGTTAAAATATCCATGGAAGCAATTAGAGAATGAGAGGAAAGATTTAAAGAGTATACAGATTATTTTTTTCTGCAAGTTTGATGCTGATGTTTTTCTACCAGAAAGGGTTAATAAAAATTTTTCAAACCAAAGCAGCATTTATAATCCTTCTTCAAGTCACTCATAACCTCCTTGACTAAAATGTTGACAGGTGGCCTTTCAGTTGCTCCATATCCCATGGAATGCACCCACATTCTAACTTCACATCAGCCATCTTTATGACAGAAGTTGCCATTGACTAAATTGCATCCTGACTTCAAAGATGTTAAAATGAAAAAAAAAAAAAAATCTATGAGTCTTAAAAGAGGTTAAATGTGGTAGCGTAATTGCTTAACTGCCCCAAGGTCTCATCTGAAGTTTACGGTTATGGGTTTAAAGTGGAACTAATGTGTCTGGTTGTGTGTTTCCCTCCACTCATACTCAGTTGCCTGAGTTCAGGCTAAGAGCAGGTGAACAGGAAGATAGCCAGATTTATCCAGCACCAGTTTTATTAGGCGATAATGGTTGAAAGAGAAGAGCCAGGGAGATACAAGGTAGAAATTATCAGAGTGGTAAAATCTAAACCGGGTGAGGAGAGAAGTAAGGGCCCATGACATGTCAATAGCAGATTTGTTTTTACATGTGGTTGCCAAAACATACTGAGCGCCTCTACATGTCCAGGCACCACTGAAAGCACTGGGGATATAAGCTAACAGAGTTGTTAAAATGAAAAAAAAAAATCTATGAGTCTTAAAAGAGGTTAAATGTGGTAGCGTAATTGCTTAACTGCCCCAAGGTCTCATCTGAAGTTTACGGTTATGGGTTTAAAGTGGAACTAATGTGTCTGGTTGTGTGTTTCCCTCCACTCATACTCAGTTGCCTGAGTTCAGGCTAAGAGCAGGTGAACAGGAAGATAGCCAGATTTATCCAGCACCAGTTTTATTAGGCGATAATGGTTGAAAGAGAAGAGCCAGGGAGATACAAGGTAGAAATTATCAGAGTGGTAAAATCTAAACCGGGTGAGGAGAGAAGTAAGGGCCCATGACATGTCAATAGCAGATTTGTTTTTACATGTGGTTGCCAAAACATACTGAGCGCCTCTACATGTCCAGGCACCACTGAAAGCACTGGGGATATGATACCGAGCAAGAGAGGAAAGTTCCCTCATATCAATTTCATTGTGGTCAGGGAGAAACCAATCTTTCATAAACAACAATCAGAAACAAATAACCAGTCAAATAATGCTCATGACTATGCAGACAATTAAAATAAGATGTGAGAAAGATTAATGCTCACAACTATGCAGAGAATTAAAATAAGATGTGAGAAAGATTAATCAAGTAGCTAATAAATTCCTGGTAGTCAAGAGAAGCCTCTGTGATGAGGTATTATTTATGCTGAAACCCAAATGACAAGAACAACCTGACTGTGTCAGTGTAAGGTGAAGCAAGCGTCTCAAGCACAGGGAAAGCCCAGGAGTGAAGGTCCTCATCTGAGAGCCCATTTACTTTGTTAGAAATAAAAGGAAAGTGAGCATAGCCTGAGTAAAGTAGCTGAGGTTCAAGTGAGGAGATAAGATGAGAGATAAACAGCAGCCAGGTCGTATAGAGTTTTGTAAGCAAAGAAAAAGTTTTTGGGTTTTGTTCAGAGTGTGTATGTTGTGATAGGATCTAGTTGTGTATAAATGCTCAATCTGGAAGGGGTAGGATGGAGTATAGAACAGGAAATAATTGAAGAAGGGAAATAAATTGGGAAATTATTGCAATAATACAAGCAGTTTGGTTATGGAACCTGAGAGAAATAGACAGAGCTATGATAAGTATTCAATAGTTGTATGTTTAAAGTGGTCAATACCTTATCCTTGAAAAGGGTCATATATGATAGGGGAAAGAAAAATCATTCAGAAAAATGGGGGAATACTTCACTCCAACATTCAAATGTCTGTGTGTGTGTGTGTGTGTGTGTGCGCGCGCGCGCGCATGCGTGTGTATGCAATTTTTCAGCTCTCAGTTCCAGAAAGAACCTTGAGTATATTCATTTATAACAAATAGTTCTAGTCTATCAAAGCTTACTGAGCCCACAATAGGGAATTCGCTTCCTGGTTAGGAAGGAAGGCAGGGAGGGAGAGAGGACAGATGGTTAAAAAGATGTCAAGATCTCTATGTATGGAACTTTTTAGGGAAAGTGTACAATAAATAAGTAGCTCAGTATTCATTTGGTAATTGGAGACCTGTATTTTTCACATTTGGCATGTCCTTCTCAGAGGCGTGTTTGAAGACGGCAGCATTTTCTGTTTCCCTAGGAAATGATGAAGCAGCACTTGTCCCAGTTTTCTCAGCCCACATGTGGTAGTGAGCAAACCTATCCCTGCTGTACTCTGTAAACAATGCAAGTGTCATTTCTCATGAAAGTCACCATGCTACCCTAGAGATCATGGGATTTTGTCTTCTGCACTAAGAAGAGGCAGCACATTTGTCTTTGCATAAGATGGGAGGAGGGGAAAGAACAAAAAAACAAATGAGGGGTGCACTGACAACTGTCAATGATATCAATAATGACAATGTCTTGATTTGTAATAACATTACAGAGAGCATTTGTAATAAATGGACTACAAAGAAAAAAGTCTTAAATTAAAAGCCACCAGCACTTCCAAAAAATAATTTAAAAAACAAAATAGATCAGCTCAGTGGATTCCAATGGAAGTACTCAGAAGGGGAATATACCTTTAGATATTTTCTTGCAAGACAGCCAACTCAGTACTTCTGGTCCCACTATCCAGCTGAATAATTTTGAAGAGCGCAGTGGGAGGAAATACAGACCTGGGGACTAATGGTTACATATTTTAACTGTGCTGTAGACAGATATGCCTGTGCAATTGCTGTTTAGAACTTCATTTTTAGTAGTTAGAATTAATTCTAACCTCGGTAGGATGTGGTTGGTACACAGACAATTTTATTTTCCCTACCTTTAGAATGGCTTTGAAAAAGTCCTCCAGTTTGGCCTCAGTTACACACAAGTTACAGAAAAGCTAATACTTGTGCTTTATAAAAAGTGTGAAGTTGGAGAAGCAATGCCCTCACCCTCATGTTCTGGTTTACATTTAGGATTTTGCAGAAGTTCCGAAGAATGAATCAAAGAAGGCAATCATTAACATTTTCTGGAGAGGATACATTTCGATGATATAAATTAGATCTACAAATTAATCATTAAGCAAAATCATAATGCTGGTGAGTTGAGTTCATCTCCATGCATGAAATTTGTGTTCAAAATGTAAAGCTTGTCAGAGTACTCCCCGAACAGTGACCAGAGCTGGGATATTTTACCTAGTGTTTCTCTGCGAAACCCAGCATTCATTTGAAAGTAGCTGACGCCAAGTAGCAAAAACATGAGCTGAGAAATGTTACTGGAACATGCTGTGATGAGATTAAAGCCGGCAGGAATGAGGGGTATTCCAGAACCAAATTAAAATGGTACCAGTGGAGGCAGGTCTGTGCTGGAAAATTAAAGCAGAAAATTCTTTTTTTGTTTATACAAGAAGCTGTAGGAGAGAAAGCTGGAATAATGATTGTTTCAGCATCCCAAGAATGAGAATAACTTTTCACTTCCAGTACCTCCAGAAAATATAAACACTACCACAGTAATTCATTGTGACGAAGATTCTTTACTTGACCAATCTAGTCAAGTCTACTTAAATGTCTCCTAGGCCCACCTGTACACTTTTTTATAAAATCTAGTTTTAGCAAGACCTCTGCTAAATCACTTTAGAAAGAAACATTCACCCTTAATTGCAGATTATCTTCAATATCTGAGAGTTAAATTTTCAGAAATTTTATAAATTAGTTGCTAAACACAGTCAATATTTGAAATTGTATAAATCTGCAACTAAATAAATAATATTTAAACAAATTATCAAAGTCCTCACTTCCTTAATTATTGACTACATTTTACCATTACTCAAATTGGCCAGGGGAGGAGTATATAAATTATACGAATTAGCAAATGCAGTAATCAGGGCTCAGTTTATTATCTTTAAAAGTAATGGGTAAAATAGTAATATGCACATTTTACTTATGTAATTCTGTACTTGTCACACTGTTAATAGCACAAAACACTGAAGAAATATTCTAATATTCAAGCAGTTAGCGTAATGGCTATGTCGCTGGACTCCCATGTAGTTGACTACGGTTGGCATCCCAGACCCGGTGCCTTAAACTCACACCAGATGCATGCATGCCCAAGATCCCGAGAGGAGAATGGAGAAGGGATTGCAGCATGGCCATCCTCCTTGGGGGGTGATTTCTCACTTTCTGTCTCTCTGTCTCTCTCTGTCTGTCTGGCAAGCACATGCGCCCTATAGCAAAAACCTCTCCAAAAAAAAAAAAAACTATCTGATTTAACAAAAAAGTTTCTGATGTCATTGATAATACACTTCTAATATGCATTTTCATTGTTTTATTTTCATCACTCTTTGTAATGTAAAGAAAAATTTTAGCTGATATCCATGTTGGAACTACCCTTGTTCACCAATTTTAACCATAGATTATCTACAAAGAATTCAATAAAAATCAACATAAAACTATATACTAATAATTGGTTTTGTGGAATTTACCACCAAGAATATTGTTTAAATTACCATTGTAAATTGTGTGCTATACATCCTTTATATTAGTTAGATTTATAACAAGTTTGTATGTGTTAAAGGAAAGTCAGTTGTTAAACACCACAAACCCAACTAAGGGTAGGGCAGATATAACCAAAGTAAAATTCCCAGAGGCACAGAATGTAAGACCTGAAATGACTATATTTCCATATTTAAAAGGTACAAGTATAGATATAAATCTAGGTCACAGGAAACCTAAAAATGAAAGAATTAACAGATGCTGTCCAAAGCAGGTAGACTTGACCAGTGTTTTATATTTTCTGAGAACGCCAGCTGTCTTTTATTTTATGTTTTTACTTACACATTTCTCTTTTAACAGAAAGTAGTAAGGCAAACAATTAATATTTGTCAGATAATTATTATAGATCAGGTGAAATGCTAAACATTTTATATAGAACATCCTTTTAGTGACCACAGTCACTCAAGGAGTCATTACGGTCATCCCTATTTTTCAGATGGAAAATAAAGGATTGGTATGATGTGATACACTTTGCTCAAGACACAAACCACTGGTTCTCTCTGTTTCCCAAGTTTTTAAACTGCATGTTGATCATTTTTTCCTGGAGGATTATGTTTGTTTGTTTGTTTGTTTGTTCTAGACTAGAGAGAGAAGTGCTTATTATTTCTACTGAAAAGCAGACAGAAACAAAGCAAATGGCTCCTTTTTCTGAGTCAAATCTCACAGAATTTTTATGTATCTTTCTGGCCTTTATTTACCACTATTGACTTTCAACAAGCTATTCTTTACCTTTACCTAATCTCTCACAAGTTCATGTCAAATTTTCTACCTCTTTTGATTTCATTTTCAGGTGCCCTTATAAACACTGCATACTCACCAATCCCAATTCCAAACTCTACCTATCATTTAGGGTCCAATTTAAATGCAGTCTCCTCTCTGGAATCTTTGATTTTCCCAGCTTGATATAATCCTTTACTCACTCAAACCACTTTATTAAGCAGCAATTGAGAAAGGACATTGCAAGGCATGTGGCTGATTCCTCCTCAGCTACTGCTCAAGTAGGGTAAGAAATCACAAAG